TTGAGGGTGAGACCTACGACGGCATATGATTGACCATTCCAGATTGGGTGAAAACATGCTCTAATTGGGCATCTGGTGTGGAAAAGTGAGAGGACGGTGCCCTGCTCCATGGTAGGCATCGCTGATGGCCATAAGCACTGTAAATTGTGTCCGGTGTGGGGAAACTGCAGTGGTGATTCTTATTGCGTTTTTGTGCCTTAATTTCAAAAGAGACACTTTTAAACAAATGAACGACTGTCTTTGGAATGAACTTTGTCAACCACCGTAGTATAAGAAAAAACATCCATGTTTTATACAAAAATCTGAACCACTAACAATTATCATCAATGTGGGTGATCAGACTGAGAATTTGGGGCATTTTTTAATCAGGTAAGTCTGCCGTACTGAAAGGAGGATAGGAGTCAAACTTTTTTTTCTTGTTATAAAAATAACTAAAGTACAGTATCTGCTGGCTCTTCAGTTCAGGACTCAGATGAAAGTGATGAACATGGGAACATAAAGATAAACAATCTGTGGCAATTTCCTGGAGCCTTATCTTTAGATTAGAGTTTAGGCTGAGATCTGCTGTTCCTCCAGTGATTTTTCCTACAAGTAGGATGGAACAATTTGTTGAACTTAGTAAAGGCTCTGATTGGCCAGCAGTTTCCATATACTAATCTGGGAACAGAACAACCCTCTTGGGCATGGATAGGATTAAAAAATTTTGGTATGTGAGCAAAACTGTGAAGTAAAAGCACTTAGATGGATGTCCTTCTTACCGACAAATGTTTCCTTACACTCCTCAAAGACAGTACAAAAACAAAACAAAACACAGTAACCCTAATATCACATGTCAAACGACAAAGTGTGAGTGAGCCACACATCAAGAAAGTGTCTCATTTTGAATTGCAGGACTATTTGTTGCAGTCATGCAGGAACAAAGCGGCTTCTTTGACTGATGTGGTTAAGTGCTTTGTTCCAGTTCATTACCAAATGGTCAGCAAGTCTTTTGTTGCTTGCCAGTAAGGTCTATTGGGTAACCAAAATGTTCTGTTAAGGTGACAGAAAGGCAGGATTGCACTATTCTAGGGAAATAGAGGTCAAGGGGTTAAGCCCTGCCTGATTGATGTGGCATCTTGGTAGATGGCTGGGGGGGGGATTTGTACCGTGTTATTCTGAACCCTGAGTGCTCATCTGGAAGTCATCTGCAAATTGGAGACATATAGGCTGTGGGTACCTGCATATGTGATGTGTGGGATTTATAGGTGTAGGCCTCTGAACTAGGAAACATGACGGGAATGCTTTGAATTTTGTCCAGTGCCATTGCCAATGGCTTTCCCTTAATGTGGGGTGAGCGAGGCAGGTCAGAAGTCATACGTGGGAAAATCTGCTTTCACCTCAGTTCCTCTGCAGTTTTACGACTGCAGGTAAGCTCAGGGCAATGATAAATAAGCTGAAATAGCATTTGAAGGACTGACCCTGTCAAAGGTGAACAACCTCTCACTGTCCGTATGTCTTGTTTTTAAGTCCCTTTTTTGCAATCACATTGGTTTTTAGTTAAGAAGCATCCCCATCACAAAGAACAGTTTTGTCCCCTTGAACTTTTGTGTAATGGAACAGAGGAACACAATGTTACCAAAGAACATAATTTAGAAATTGCTTCATAAGTCTTAACACCACTGACTTGCTTGGACGTCACTAGTGGTGTAAACATTCATCAAGACTTATTTTTGTAGATGGTAACCTCATTGCACTGCTTTTTTCTGAATTTGTCGTAAATATTAAAAATGACAGTCCACTGTTTCAGTGCTGGGACCATGTATTAATTTCAGGTGAAAGCTGGTCTGTTTCTCACTAAGTGGACCTTTCTCAGGAAAAAAGAATCATAGATTAATCGTGGTTATCATGGTGTTCCAGGTTATACAATTCGTAATTTTAATTTAGTGAAATGCAGTAAAAAGGCTTACTTTCAAGCTTTATGTTGGAATTTTATCGTATACATTTTGCTATTAGTGTAATGCAGTCATTTTAGTGAACTGTGCGACACTAGACTAAAGAATGATGTATAATTATTTGGTTCTGAGTCCAGAGTACAAACCAATAGTCCTTGTTGAGAGATTAGCTGTAAACCAGAGCTTAGTTGATCAGCTTACTGAAAGACAGTTTGGCCTCAGAACCCGTGGGGAGTGCGGCTTTATCTGTCAGTTGATGTTGACACATTGAAAAGCAGCGACAGGCCCCCCCCCCCCCCTGCAGTGTGGATCGGGAACCACTGCGCCGTGATGTTTAAGCAAACGCTGAACTGAAGTGAACTCTGCTGTATCACATCCAAATGTGCTTAGAGTCATTACAAATAGGCTCAGGGCTGGTGTGTTATGTCTTACAACCTAAGCCACATGTCCAAGGCGGGCTGGCTGCACTGTAACGTCCTCATCTTGCTGATGGCGGGGTGTGAGGGGGGGGGGAGGCGTCGTAACTCCGCCGGACGACGCATCAGGTGTGCGCTTTGCCAAGTCTCCGCTCACTTCGCGAGAGCGAATAGCTGCACTGTTCTTTTATAGGACGCGAAGCGGTTTCAAAACATGAATTTTATGACATTCCACAGCCTACAATTCCACGGCCGGAGACTGGAGTATGGCTGTCGCCCCCACCTTCGCCCTGACAACCCCCCCCCCCCCCACCCCTACTCCTCTACAAAAAAAGCTTAAAATGGAATGTCATTATGAGAGGAGTGGAAACTGTAGATTTTCAGGGAAAACAGTGTGCCTGTGGCATGAGGCGTGCGCCCCAGCGCCTGGAGCTCCGCAGGACCGCCGCCGCCCCCTTTCAGTCCCACGTATGGCTACTGTTGACATGAGTCATGCTGGTATCAGATGTCAGCCAAACATTTGCTGTAAATGTCAGGATGATTGGGCTTCATTGGGTCCCCCCTTCCCCAGTATTTTTGGGCTTCCTATTTTATTTTCAGGAACGCAGTAAAAATGAACAAGGGTTTTTTTTTCAGGCTAGAGTAATGCTTCTCTGTATCAGGCAGACAGCTGAGTATTTGCTGACATCTATTGGAATACCACCAAACAACATGCGTGTAAAGAGAATGACAAATTGGGATAATCCTATTTTATATACAGTTGGCATTTCCCATTTTGAAATATTACGCTGGAAAAAAACTGCTCTGGATTCTAGCAGAATTTATGCAGGATGATCATAGGTGTTTTGCAATTAGAAATGCTATTGAGTCCGACAGGAAAATGACTGAAGCACTGTATCCACAATAATTGTGTGGTTGAAGTTGGGATGTTACACCACAAGATGGTAGCAAAGACCATTCCAACAGCTAGGCTGTAAAACACTGGCTTAGCACATTCTGGTTCTATCGCCTACATTTTGAATTGTAAAAGGTATGGCCGTTGCGTCACACACATTGCTTATAAGGCTCTCTGTTTGTCCCTGTGCCAACGCTGCTTCCTGATTATCCTAAAGTCTACTGAGAATTTGGATTAAACTATTGCTGCTTTAATGCTTAAAAATCATATATAAATAAATTGGTAGGGATTCATTGTGAGAATTATATCATCTGGATTTTTTCTAGCACTTATTAATCCTAAATTCTCTCATCCTAAAGTATGTAATGCTTTCTTTGCTAGTGGTTTGGCGAATGCCTCATTCTGAGCTTCTGAAACCATAATCAACATACAATGGTATTGTCAGGAAGTGAATCAGTCATCATGCAAAGAGTTTGGTACAAAAAGTGCACATCTTAAGCAATGCTTCATTAGGGACTGACAGAGGCACAGCTGATGTGCTATTTGTGAACAGGCCTATATGTGCCAACAGAGTAGAGCCCAAAGCTCTCCCCCCTGGTCATAATTTAACAGCTGTAATACCAACGTGCCTTAAATGGCACGTCTTCTAATTCATTGGGCTTTCCCCACATCTAATGAGCAGATGTGGGATTTTGTTTCTAACATGTTGGAAGCCCCAGAAGAACAGAAATGCTTTGTGTGTTGCCTTTGGGGCCTCTGTGCATCTGAATTTAATGCCACTGAACTGAGACCATTCAGCTTTGGTTCCTGTAGGTCATAGTGTGTGCTGGCTTTTGTTCCAACAAATATACTTGTTAAATTCTAATAAGCCATTTTTACCACAAAAATGCATGTTTGCAAAAATAAGTTCAAAGCTTTTAGAAACAAAATTGGCACTGCTGTGTCTATCAAACATGAAGGAGCTGCACTTTTATTTTGGAATATTTTGAGCCAGAAATGATTTGCCTGAGATTCAGGAAACCTTGTAGCGTGTCTTCAAATTTCATCCTGAATGTCAAACTAAATGTTCTTTTTAATGTGCCATTATTCTGCCACAGTGGTTCTGTCAGTTGCTCAGTACAAGTACTACTGAAAAATAATCATATGTGAAAAATGTAACAGAGCCAGGCTGGTTAATTCATTAGGATATACAGAAGTCATTAACATAAGCTTGTTGGACAGCGCTCAAAGCTGTTTAATTATCCCCTAATGATCATGTTTTATGCTATAGGTATGATGAACTTGGCCAATGAGGTGTGAGGGCTATGAAATGTGATGTGAATCCTGCAAGTCAAAAACAGCAACCAGAACTGTCATGATGTTAGCTAATATATCTCATAGATTAATTATAAATCACTCCATCTTGATGGGACATTCGTCAGGATTGCCACGTTTGCAACACCAACACCTGTTCACTGAGGCAACTCGACTCTGGAAGCCTTTGATGAACTGTGGCACCCCATTGGTATAATGAATCATACAGTAATAACACTAGGTGTATTGATTGGAAAATGTCAGATTTCTTTGTGGTGTGTAAGTGCAAAGGCGTGTCTTGTGTGTGCGCATGCCTATGTGGGGGATTAGTCTCAATGTCTGGCTTGTGAATTATTACTGTTGGGTTTATTGCAGGGTATAGACTATAAATCATGACTCTGAGCATAAAGCTGAACTCAGCTTTTCATTTTAAATGTGTCTACTTGCAGAAATGAAAACACACAATAACATTATGGTGTTTTAATGCTTTATGCATATTTCCTGCGGGGCTCAGAAGCTTATTTGTCTTAAAATTATATTTTGGCTTTAAAAGTTTGATATGAACAGTTGGTCACTAAACTAGACTACACAGTATGCAAATGTTGACATTTTTCCACAGAGTTGTCAAATATACTTTTTGTTGTTCAGAAACACTGACCTTTATTTTACTTGGTAAAAATATAATCTAAGTGTTTCAATGTTCTACAAGTACAAAGAAGAAAATAACTAATTTCACAAAAAAGACCAGGATAAATACACACTGTTAGAGGGGTAATGTAAAGCCAACCACTATAAAAAAAACACCACGGTCCACCCTAAGACAACACCTTAAGACTAATGTAAGATCAGTAATATGCTGTATATTGACATCATGCGAGCATCTTATAATGCACTTTGGACAGAGTAGCGTTAAAAAAAGCAATTAATACTAACCTGTGAAGGAGGTTAAAACAAATCAGACTGCAGTTGAGGGCATGAATGTTACAGCCTGTCTTCCTTATGATACAAGACAAAAACGTCATTTCACAGGTCTGTGATTCCAGCTGTATTAGGACCATAGAGAATGCAGCCAGCTGACCCTCACATCACGTTGTCAGACATTGATGAAACACTTTTAGAAATTGTCATGTTAGAGATAGGAAAGTCTGATCAGCCTTTGTAGAGGAAATGGCATAAGAAAGTGAAACACCAGTGAAAAGACACCTAAATTAAAGTAGATGGATTTTAAAATGCTGAGCAGAGGCCAAAAAGCCACCTCTGTGGTTTATGTTTTTATCTGTTTATTATCATTTTTTAATCAGTTTATGGTTTGGGGGGTCTGGAAATTTGCCCCACAAATAAAGCAATATTTCCATTACATTATCAAGTGTTTTGAGCTGAGAGAACTTTTAAATACCATTCTCAACAATACCCTTCAGTTCAGTGGATGGTTACACTGGTTATCAGGTACAGCCACCAGAGGGCACCAGCCCCATGGCCAGATCATATGGACGTATAGTGCTTTCCATAGTTGGTCAACTTTATTTTCTCAGGCAGGATGATGTTGACGGATTGGTCCTCGCCATCCTTTGATCTGAGCAAATAATCCCGCTGCTGGCGGACTAGCTGGCTGTACTTGGCATTGGCCATCCAGGACTCGCAGCGGTTAAAAAAAATTATGCCCGTGGTGCCCAGGACCACCAGACAGGTGAGGAGGCCCAGCACGGCGAAGCAGATGACCTGGCTGCGGGTGACTAGGGGACTGGGGGTCCGGCCCGTCTCCTTCATGGTGATCCTGAGCAGCTCCCTCTCGGAGGGGTGTGCCAGCCGATGGAACTCATGCGAGGGCAGGTTATAGTGCTGTTGCACGTAGCGGCCGCTGCTGCTGCTGTCTGATAGCCAGGTGCTCTTGGTCTTGTGCTGGGTGCAGCTTGGCCCAAAGAAGCCTGGCCGGCAGCGGCAGTGGAAGCCCCCAGCAGGGAGACTGAGACACGTGCCCCCGTTCGCGCAGGGACCATCAAAACAGGTGAGTGACGTGTGGTTACACGTGGGCCCCGTGAAGCCTTTGGTGCAGGAGCAGGTGTACCCGGCCCCATGGTCGGTGCAGGTTCCCCCATTGGCGCAGGGGTTAGGCTCGCAGTCATCCACGTCAATCTCACAGAAGTTCCCAGCGAAGCCTGGAGGACACAGGCAGGAGGGGTGGGCTGCCTGCCCATCTTCATCAGTGCACGTGCCCCCGTTTTGACACGGAGACCTGCAGGGTAGAATCGGCTTTAGCTGCAAAGGCATCGTCGTACCCAGCAGTCTGAGGCGGGTCCTCTGGTCACTATCGTCATCAAGGGCCCGAGTTTGCACTGATTCCACTTGTTTTCTTGTGTTCTGTCCAGAATTTCTATTTCCTGTGAAGTTGGTCAGTTCCAGCCCCCACCCCCCATGCCAGCCCCACGCACACACTTCTATAGTAGTGCGTGGCTGTAGGATACTATGGATACAACCTTCCTGTGATAGGCCACTGAAACTTTTTTTTAAGAAAAGGGGCAGGGGTGGATCATCAATGGGGAATCATTTAAGTGCATTATTGTATATCTTAAATGGATCTAAGTAACACATAGTGCCTCTTAAGAATACAGAAAATGTTCTAATCTAATTAGGTTAAAGGTGTGCTCGATTCATGTGACTAAATTCACTGTGTTCTTTGTCATTATTCTTGTTTTTACAGTCATACTGAGGTTTCCTGCATGGTCCTGCTCTTAATTATTACAAAATCCCACTAATTCACTTGATGCTTAAAAAAAAAGGATCATTCTAGTTGGTGAAATGTTTTGTATTCAAATAATTTCTGTTGGGTCCCTTAACATTAACCACTTTAAGTCTAATATGTTACATATTAAAATTATTTTATTTTTTATTAATATTTATCGGAAGGAGTGTGTGACAGTTCAGCAGGTCAGACTGTCCCAAACCTCATATAACAAGTCAACTCCAAATAGCAAATAGGGCAAAAGCACTTTATCTCATTTTTAATTATATACCATACGTGAAACACAAACTGGTTTTCGTCGAAAAAGCTAATCTTAGCTAATTTTAGTAAAAAAAAAAAAAAAAAAAAAAAAAAGCATAATGAATGAACAGTAATGGATATTGCTTTTACTTGTAGGTTGATGTCTGTATTAAGACATCGCTGAAGATTCTAAATGAAAACAAAGTCTTGAACTTTGTTTCAATGTGACTGTTAAGTCATGATTCGAGAATCGCTATTAGACTTCTGCGGTTCTCAAATGATTGCAGTGACGACAACTTACCCGTTGGTTAGACAAGGTCCCGCCTTCAGATGGCAGTTCTGCCCAGTGTAACCCTGGGCACAAATGCACAGGTATTTCCCGGCACCAGTCTCGATGCAGGTCGAATTGTTAGAGCAGGGCTTCGACGAGCAGGAGCGAGTGTCTGTAACATTCGAATACTGTATTTGCATCTACATTTAATAATAATGAATAATATAGTGTGGTATTTTTCTTAAAAGCGTAATTATAATGACAATCGAAATGATTTGCGGTTGTTTATATTATTTTAATATGTAGTTTTTATTCCATCAATTAAATACAGAACTCTACATAAATACAAAATATCTATTTATAAAAACCTATCCCAGAAAAAAATGTCTGTACCGAGCCAGCTCCCATTCTCCACTTAAATAAAACGCACCAACGTCACACTGGCTCCCCAGCCAGCCGTCCTCACAGATGCACTGCCAGGGTCTCTGGCATGTCCCGTGCAGGCAGCCGGGAAAGGGCATGCACTGCTCGCACGTCGCACCTTGCCAGCCAGATCTGCATCTACGAACAAGGAACAACAGTGGTAGTAAATAACTCTGCTGTCCCGAAACACCTCAATTTCTGTGCACCCTGCATACTTATTCTCGTCACAGCCAATCAATTTATCGGCTGAACACAAATGCGTTTCATACATTTGTATAGCCCACGAGAAATGACATGCTCTTTCTCGCGTAATTCTTTCTTTTAAAGGTCAAAGCCGACTGAAATTTTTAATTATAGAACAGCTCATGTCAATTTGCTCCCATTACACAAAAAGTGTTTGTGTACTGGATATCTAAATGTGTAATTATAAGAAGGAGAAAATATTTTTTCACGTATATTGTGAAACTCTCATATTCCACCGAAATAATATTGATAGGCTATGAGGAGTAGCGTGCGTCGTTACAACAGTTTAATTTTAGAAAAGTTGAAGCATTGTCTGGCACCTGCATTCTCCTGGCTTCTCACAGAACCCGTTCTCCGAACTGCAATCTGCTCTGCATTCCAATCCTGCTTAAAATATTCAGAAACTCGTGAAGTGGGGGTTAAACGCCGATTGAAAATGCTGTTAAAATGGAAAAACCCACAATTTTACAAACACCTCTTCCGCCTCTCAAACCACCGATTTTAGAACAGCGCTATACAACTGCACTTGAAATTATACTATCTCAATGTGAAACGACAAACCACAGTTCCCTGTGTCATTCGAGTAATTCTTGCCGTCACTTACTGTATATGATTAAATTTGGTTTACCTTTGACGATACCAGTAGTGACAAGTAATAGTAAGCAAATAGGTTTCACGCAGTGGGCATCACAGAAAACCATCTTGAGATTTCTAGAAGATGCTCATTTTCCTGGAAGACAGGCATTTATCATCGTTAATCAGAACAATACCAACCAAGGGACGGCTGGGCGAAGCGACGGTGCGGTTTTTAGTACCCAGGGCTGACTTCCATGCCAATAGAGTTTACAAAGAGTAGTCAGCTGATTTCATGCATGCATTGTGTACACATACACACATATATTATATACTGTATTTGCGTGCGCCTAGGTTTTAGCGGTACCCCTAGAAATAAAGTTAAAACGGTATTTTGAGCATTCACAACATTTGATGTTTAACGAATATTTAAGATGACGTTTAAGAAGATTCTACTACTGTATATACTACAGGTAGCTTAAAGCGCTTTAAAAATTTTAACCTATAGCAGTTTTCACTTGCTGTAATGTTCGAAATAGCGTTACCTATATCGGTATGTTGTCCGTCCGCCTTTTTTTGTGAATCATAATTCTCTCGCTCCAAGTCAGTATTCAGACTTCCTTATTTTAGAAATGATACAGGTTATCGTAGCGAAACCACGAGGACGACGAGTTCCACTTCTTGTCATCAGCGCTTGGACTGGAGATAGTCAGTCTGCCATCGGCGCTTGGTGCGGGAGCTGTCCAGCGCCACAGCCTCCTGAACGCATGCGCTGTCGTTGCGATCTCACTTGCAGCGAGAAGTCGAGTTGCTATATATACTGCGATTATGCAGAGAAAATCTTTTTATATTTATATATATTAATTACATCGACTAACAAAAAAAACTTACCCTTTTTATATATACCTGATTTATTCGCCTATTATGAATGTTGTGCTTATTTATTATTGTGATATTTTATAAAATCGTTTGTGATACCTTTAATAGGCAACAAGAATAGTTTCCTCCCTAGTGTAACCACAAAACCATCTGTTTCTTACTATCTCCATTCGTTTATGTAAGTTCTATTCCTTGCTAACATGATTAGTTTATGTAGTAATTTTGTAATCAAAGATATGAAAGGGAGCCAAAATATGGCATGTTAATAGTACGGTTGGAGTTTCTGCAGTCATTTGATGAGGCAGATTGTGCTGCTTTCATGGGATAGATGTTTAACATCTTAACTGTCTAATAGCAGGACCAAAATAACTGGTGAATTAGACCTGGGAATTATCTGGAGGGAGTCTGTGCTATTGCTGAAAGACTTCATTTAAGTCAGAGAGGCTTTCTCCTCTGGAAAATGTAGTGTCTGGTTTAGACTGGGGAAATGAGTGACGGGCCACTAGCAAGGCTGCCCACATAGTCTTATGCAAATTTCTGCCAGTCTTATTGAGTTTTATTCAGCAATGATTTTTTTTACTTTGATTGGACCTTTGTGTTGAACAACCAGTTAACTAGCACCCTTCATAGGCATGTTATGGGGGGGGGGGGGGGGTTCAGAGGATAGCACTGTTGCACCAAATCTGCAACATGGGGTTCAAATGTGGTTTTTGTCCCTGGAGTTTGCATGTCCTCCTTCTGTCAGTTGGGTTTCCTCCAGCCATTCCGGGTTCCTCCTAAGCTATACAGCCTAGGATAAGCTCCAGGCCTCCGTGTCGCTGATCTGGGTGGCCGTTTTGAATATGGATACATGGTTTTACATTATATCATGATACAGGATCATGGGTTGTAATATTTGGTTCATTATAAATTTATACAGAAATTTAAGATGGTCTAGTTCCTAGATAACAGTCTGAATTTTGATAAAATAAGACCTTTTAGAAGTAATTTGGAGTTACTTGCAAAGCTAATTGTGCATCTCTGCTGTTAAATCATATTGGAATTATTACCTTGTATTCAGATGACAAATGAATACTCAGTCATTTGTTAAATGTAATTGAATATATTTAATATATTGAACCGTGATGATATAGTGAATGTGTTCTGCAGAGAGATTTTGTTGTTTAAGCTCCGTCTTCATGAACAGGATTGTTTAATATGTATATTTAATTTTTTTTATCTTGACACATCTTGCCTTTACCGTGATTTATTGCCGTACTAAACAATGATTTATTGTTTCTCTGCTGTGACGATGTAATATGTTCTATGTGTGTCTGGAAAAAACTCACTTTCATAATTTGTGATGTAAAATTGGTTCCACTGCTTTTAGAATCCTGGGTTTTCCCCCCTCCTGGTGTGTTGTAGCAGACTGCAGGTCTCGACTATCCTTGTATGGTAAATTCACATCTTATGATTTAAGCACCTTCTCTGCTTGCCTTTACTGATTTAATGATTTACGTGCCCCTAGAGACAACTGTTCTTCCTCCATTATGAGCATAAGTAGTGGGATGAGTGTGCTGAGCTGATTTTCCTTCGAGGGCCTTTGCTTAGTGCTACAGATGTGCTGCCTCCTTATTGCCCTTTTAGCTAGCAGAGTCAAGGGCAGACAGGAGGCTGAACGCGTCTTCTGGCTCTCTGTGGCTCAGCCCGGCTGCGCTGAGTGATCTGATGGCTACTGACAAATTACATTTCCATCGATAGCAAATGCGTCGGGCTTCTATTATTGGTAGGCATATCTTCTAAACAGCGATCATGTTTTAGTACGATTCAGGACCAATTTGTTAGCTTCCCCCTTTGGGGGCACAGTAGGAAATAATGCCGTATCAGCCTGATAAATGGGGACAGGATAAAATGAAAATAATTACACTAACTTACAAAAGGAGAAGTGCATCTGTGTCCCATAATTTTCAATAGGTGATAGTCGTTGCTGCTTCTTGTTCGCAAGTTTTTTTTTTGGGTCACCCTGGAAATAGCTTGATGCACTTGAGTTGTTCCTTACAAAGTGTTTACTGGAATGGGAGAAAAGCCTAGGAACTTCTGCCAGTTTAAACCACCTCTGTCATTTGTATCTGATACAACTGTGTCAAGCAAAATTATTTTTTTACACCACGTCTTCCACCAATTTTACTAGTGTATATTATTACTTTTCATCCATCTGTATGATCAGATTTTAGTTTTCAGCTTAAAGCTATTCATATGGATATTTTAAAATTATATTTTTCATTATTTATCATGCACACACTTAATACATAATACTTAATACATAATACACATAATAATCAATGTATGAAATGAGTCAGAGCTGATCAATGAATGAATTCACTTAAATCTTTTGACAAGCCATGACTTATTCTTGCAGATCTTTGGCACTGAGATCAAACACCTTGAATTTACTTGTAGTTTTTATGTTTTTTTTGCGTTGTTTGTGTTTAGATGTATTTAGACATATAGCAAGGTGAATCTATGTCAAACTGAGACTTGATTTGAGTCAACATGAATTCTTCTCTAATGTCACTAAACACGTTGTTAAAATTGCTGCTTGTATATTTTTGATTTTTAAAATGTAGTTTCCTATTAGGTGCTTTTATAGTGAAGTTGCCAGCAAGCAGGATTGGGACATTAGGAGCATTTTCTTTTATCCGAGCATAACTAAGAATGTGCTGAAATATTACTCACTGTTACTTGTAATTAGACGCTTTGCCTACAAATGCTTACTATTTCCTGTTATTTTTTTCCCAAGGCTGTGACTGAGTCATGTTCCTCTGCACAGGAGTAAATTACTTCCTGCTTAAAATCCTTAGTCTTTGTCAGCTGTGACATAGATTGACCACTCAACCCAGAGGGGAAACCCAGGACACTGGAATCTGTCACTGCACTCATTTCATTTTAGTGTAGGGTCTCTGAGTCAATCTGTATTGAGATCCAGTTAGGGTGTAACAGTCATGGAGTGAAAGTGTTTAAGCTGCATATATTTGGTGCATGATGTTGCCAGAGCAACAGCCAGTGGTTCAAGTCTGGGTGAATAACATGACATGTCTGAGTCCTTTTTTTAATCCTTTAATAAATACATAGCATTCCGAATATTATTGTATGAAACCTCCTTAATAGGAATATTAAGTGCATTCATATAATAACCAGTATCTGCATTTTTGTATCTCAAAGTTCTCAGGTGGTGTAACTGTCCAAAGAAATGAGCAGCACAAAACAGCTATTAAAATCAGTAGTTAAATAAATAAAAAAATACAATAATAAAACTAGACATAATTCTACATTATTGCAAAACAATATTTAAAACCCTTAACATAATTGAAAAGCATTTGTCTACAAAGGTACATTACCCCAAATGTCATGCGGCATAACCAGAAAAAGGGGGCTTTAATGTAAAAGTCATTTTCGAAAACAGTGCACTCAATGTTACATCGTAAAGAAGATTCCAAGTGATCTTCATGGTGCAGTGAAAACGTATGTAGATCTAACTCAATTATTGATTAATTTTCATGTCATGGTGAGGCTTGCTCAGTTCTCATGTCAAGTGTTACAACCCATCAAAACCATGAACATTGTAATGTGATACAATTCTTTGTTTTAAAAATTGTATGTATAAATTTGATATCAGCGACAAAAGCTTATGTTGGTGTCCAAGCTGATGTCTGTTTAATATGAAATTAAATTGACACAGCAGATGATGCAATTAATGTTACTACTAGCCATAAATGCAGAATAACAAATAGGAATTAACAATGATGTTTTATAGATTCTTAAATGATTAATTTATGAAGGTTTTCATTAGGAAAGAATAATCACAAAATACATTTTTCTGATTGCGCCACCATTTTCAGTTGGTGAAAACCTTATTTGACATTTAGCAGTCTGAATGAGTGACTAAATAGGTTGAAAACTAGTACTGTAAAAGGCAGAGGAAAAACAGAGATGAAGACAAGTCTGTAACCATGGTCATATACTGATTGCTCTTCAGGTGGCATAGTGAAGAGATGCTTTATAAAAGAATGGAAGTTGTACCCATAATACCTTCTATGCCTTTGTGAAGTAAGGACAACAAAAGTTGAGGACAAAATGATAGCGTATGAGCTATAATGAAAGAGTGTCATGTACTCAGCTATCTGATGTGTGACAAATGTTGTGTAATCACATTGCAGCCAAAGCCACGGGAAATGAAACAGTGACAGATCAAACCGAGGTGTTGGCAGATGTTACATGAACAATGATTTTTGTGGTGGACTGTCAGCCAAAGGGATTAAGAGCTTCCCATCTGCTTCATTGATGATGTGGGGGAATCGCCTATTGATTCTGAGTCCTTGCTCTTATTATCTCTCTTAGCCCTGTCAGGAAGTAGCCCTTCTGAAGAGTCCTCCTGGCCTGATTGTACATTAGTAGGAGGCTTTGATTCTGCAGGCTGATTGTTGAGGACACAAGGGAAATAGATCTGCAGGAAACAGGGTGTTTCGCTGCTCTGGTCTTATTTCATTTTTGATTCTTAATAATGTTCATTTGCAATGTTCTGTAACCCACAATCTGAATAACCAGATAAAATCCAGTTATTTCTATATTTGTCAAATATTTCTGATTCATTTCTGCATTACTGCACACGTGATTCGGAAAGTCACTGTGACCTGCGAAAGGTGTGAGATTTTAAGTCTGTTATGTGACATTTTTGAACCCTTGACAACGTCCTTCAGTGTCTGTCATATACTTTTATTGCAATATATTGTTCGCCGAAGTAAAGAATGTCCTTCAGCATTGGGGATATTGCAGCTGCTGTTGACGTAACAGAGCAGTGGGGGCCATTTCAAATTGTAGGAGAAAATGGTGTTGATACTGCATGGTTTGGGGATGTGG